CCGGGCTGGGGATTCGAACCCGCCACCTTAGGTGTACGTGGCTGGCACCTTAGCCGGTTGAGCTATAGGCGCCGAGCCAGGGTAAACATCTTAATAAACATGCTTCTGAACTCTTAGAGAGATAGAAGGAAGGAAAAACAGAAAGCCAGGCTGGTGCGGTGGCACACGCCGGTAATCTCAGCACTCTGGGAGGCCAAGGTGGGTGGATTGCCTGAGCTCATGAGTTTGAGATCAGCCTGAGCCCAAGTGAGACCCCTGTCTCTAAAAACAGTCTGGTGTTGTGGCTGGGGTCTGTAATCCCAGCTACTGGGGAGGCTGAGGCAAGGGAAGAGTTTGAGTTTGCTGTGAGCTATACGGCCATGGTACCCTACCCAGGGCAACAAAGTGAGACTCTGTCTCAAAAAATGAAATGAAATAAATGAAAGACGGAAAGAAGGAAAGAGAGAGACAAGACAAACAAAGAGAAGGTAGAAGGAAAGACAGAAAGAAGGAACGAAAACAGAAGGAAAGGCAGAAAGTGAAAATGAATGAGAGAAAGAAAGAAAAGAAGGAAGGGGAAAAAAGAGAAAGTCACTGGGATTAAATTCTCAGAAGTTTAATTGCTGTCAAAGGTGTGCATATTAAAAATGTTGTGCACGTAAACAAAGTATTTCCTGGAAAATTTGTAGCAATTTATATGCTTAATAAGAGTGCATGAGTATTTCCTACATCCTTGCCAAGACTGCTCAGCAACCACTTTTGTATGAGACTGTGTGTGTGTGTGTGTGTGTGTGTGTGTGTGCGTGCGGTGGTGGGGGTTTCGCCCGATTTTATTCCCAGCTTTATTGAGGTATAACTGACAATTAAAAATCGTGCATGTTTAATTGGGTGGTGCCTGTGGCTCAAGGAATAGGGTGCCAGCCCCGTATACCAGAGGTGGTGGGTTCAAACCCAGCCCCGGCCAAAAACAAACAAAAAAACAAAATAAATTGTGCATGTTTAAGGCATCCAACTTGATGGTTCAATATACATATACATTGTGAAATATTCATCATAATCAAGCTGATTCACATGTCCACCACCCCACACAGTTACCGTTTTTCTTTTCTTTGTGAGAACACTTGAGATCTCTGGGCAAATTTAAAGTCCACAGTACAATATTGGACCTGTCGTCACATTGTTGCGAATTTGATCTCCAGAACTTATTCATCTTGCGTAACTGAAACTTTCTACCTTGGACTAACACCTCCCACGCCCCCTCCCCACAGCCTCGGG